AAAGAGTAGCCTAGGGGCCATGACCAACTTTAATCCATAACAGGCTAAGATGGATTTCTGAGAAATACAAAACAGAAATTTCCCTAAATTTACTTAAATTACTCATACGTGCCACTTAAAAATGAATCTGTCTGTATGACCCAAGTTACCAACAACTGCAGAACTGTGGGTTAGGGAAGATGGGAACATGGAATGGGTGACAAATCCCTTGTGCAAAAAAATACAAATGGAGACATACACTCAAAAGAATCCTGTATTGTATTTTTGTTATGGTGGCTGAAAAGGCCTTGAGTTTTGGTTGCTAGTGGTTAAAGTCATTGTTACTAAACTTTACTATACACATATGCTACAAGCAAAATACATAGTGACTCTCTTCTGGTGGTTGGAGCTGGGATGAGAGTGTCTTCAGTGACAGTAACCACATGCATGCTTTTAATCCAAACACACCACCCTCTGTAAGGCGCGGCAGCAGTGGTGGTCTGGTCCAACTTTCCCCATCCATGACACCATAGAATAAATCAAGATCATCTGAGGGGACTTTCTCCCATTTCTATGCATACATACCACAAAACAACTGAATTGTAACCACAACAAATAAAGAGAGAGAGAAGATAAACTTGCTAAGTACCAGGGGCAGAAAGGTGGGGTGGGGCCAGGGGGGCACTGGCTCCAACTGAAATCTGATTGGCCCCTACAGAGCCCCTGTCCTGTCAATATTCTGAAAGAAAATAGTCACTTACAAATGATACTAACAGTTTGTTAATATTTTTCTATTTTCTAAACTTTTTTGAAATACACAATTCACTTGAACAAAAACATATCCAATGATGTGTGGTTTTGCTAAATTTTATCAAGCTAACACTAAACGAGGAATGACTTAACTTCACCTTACTGAATCAGGAATTATTAATGGATGTTGGACATATAATTGGCCCCACTGTGAACACTTTGACCCCTTTATCGCCCTTGATTTAGAAAGACTTTAGATCCGTCACTGCTAAGGACACATAATGAGAGCCCACACACATACATGAACCCAGAGACATTTAAAATCTGCTATTAAAAGTGAAGTTGAAGGAAGTTCCAGGACCAGCTCAGCGCACCGCAAACATTAATATTGCCTCGTAACTTAAACATAATTCACTTCTTCGTTATGTAAACTTCAGTCATGTGTTTTTTTATTCCAAGTTGATGTCATCAGACTTTACTAAAATCCCCCCCTGTCTTAGACAAAAGGGTTTTCACATGCAACAGTCAATCAGATGTCAGTGTGAAAACTGTGTGAAACTACCAAGGGAAATCTTCCATCCTGGAAAGAGGTTAAGACAGAGTTTGGAGTGAGCTCCTGGGTGCATCAGGGTGGTCTGGAATACAGAGTTTATGTTTAATTTAAACAGAGGCTCTCTGGGTCTGCGTACTGTCACTGCACTGAGAGGAACTTATCAGTTAAACAAAAGATGTGTGGTTCACAAATGAGGGCTGGTGAAAGAGATTATTGAGGTTTCCAGACAGAGAATCTTATTTTTTGTGGAAGTAAATGTTGTCCACCTTTTGCTTATGAACTGCATAATACCACAGTCACAATCAGATGTTTTACAGACTTGAGCTCATTACAATTAATTTATTCCTTTCTTCTGTTTCAATTCAAGAACACCCCAACTACTAAATCATGTAACAGTCTTGACAGAGGATGAGATCACTGTCGTTTCAGAGGCCACAACAGAAACGGCTCATATAAATCTAACCAAATATGGTGTGCCAGCTCCTCCAGGTCCAGCCGTGCATATATCTTCCTTCACTCGGTACAAGATGGAGATGGACCACCAGAGAATAAGATGTTTATCTGTGCCCTGGTGGCCCTCGGGTTAAGATGAACTGCAACATCCCATTTCCTGTCAACTCTCTACTGTCTGTTGTCTAATAAAGAAAGTGAATCCAAAAAAAAATGTTTACACCATTTAGCTGCTCCGTCTTAAATGCTAGAATCTGCACAATCAGAATTAAACACTTGGTACTTTGGTCATAAACCAAAGTACCAAACAATACAAAGTGCATACATTACATTTTTTAACCTAATGGTGACGCCAGAGGAAAAGTGGATAAAGAAGGAATGACTGGTTAAAACAATTTTTTAACCAAATAGTTTGAAACCAAAAATATCAACCTTATTGTAGTGCTGAAGGAAAAGTTGCCCATTTTAAAGTCAGTATAAGTGATCCTCTGGGGACCACGAGTGTCTGATCCAGATTTCATAAAAAATCCATCAAAATGTGTTTTAAATTGTGTATCCGCTGACCTTGTAGCTGAGTGCTGGAGGAACGGGTGGAAACTTGCTGTGAGCCAGTGGAAGTAGGACGTGGGGCTTTGTGGGCCATTCTCTTTATCGGGGGTTGGACTTTGAGATGTTTCAGAACATTTCAGTTTGGACCAAAATAATGGGCCAACTGATTTAGCCATCCTGTACTTTTGTTTCAGAATGTTTTAATTTGTTTCCTGAGTTTCTGGATGAATATGAAGAGGATTAAGAACTGTTGCCTTTTGGGATCTTCTTTTCAGTCTAGCGTCTGAAATACTGAGATGGGCAGTTGACTCAGTAAGCTGTCAACAGCAAAGACACACTGCAATAACACTCTTCACTAGAGTGTAAAGTAAACAGAGCCTGTCTGGACACGCAGTGGATATCAGACACACAGCGAAGGGCTACAGCAGGAAACAACAGGTACTGACCAGTCATTGTTAGAAGGAAAAAAGAACAAGACACGGTTGCATAAACAAAAACAAGGATCTGATATTGTCTATCATATGATGAATTCACATTCACAACTATACAGTAGTTGGCTGAATTATACTGCCATTGTCTCAAGCCTCGGTTGTACATAGGAAAATTTAATCAGACAGTGACGCAGATAGAAAACAAAACAAAAAAAATACGATCTCGAAAAGTATGACACACTCAACAATGGTCCTTAAAGTTTCCTTCGTATTACCTCTGTAGCAGAATTCTGCAAAAACTGCTCAGATAATTTCCATTGAATTTTGTGGAAGGCCGGGACATGACCAATAGAAGATGAAGATGAATCTGGGGGCGGACAAGGAACATTGCAAGATCTGATGTGTTACAACATTTAACTGTGGCTTCCTTAGTAACTGTTGAGCCTTGGCAGAGGTATGTGCATTACTGAGTGCCACTCCACTTCTGATTCCTACAGTAAGACTAATTCAAACTGATACGTCATCTCATCTTTTTTTTTTCTTTCATCCTTTATACACGCATGTACACGCAGCACAAACACGCTCACCACACACAGTAGCAGGGGAAAATAAACAGGCTGGGTTTTGCTTTTCCTGCACAATCTAAATATTGACTCAGTAACCTATAATCATACACAGTCTGAACAGAGTCGAAATAAACATGTGCGCCTGTAATGTGTAAGTGTTTGTGAGTCTCATGGGCACCGGGACCCTTGAGTGCTGACACTAACAAACACACATAAAAAAGGGAAGTGGTTCAGTTTTTAGTGAACACCAGACAGTATGGATGCGATCCAGCACACTGGAGCAACATAAGTTATTTTGCGTTCGCTATATAAACAAAGGACTCCTTTGAAAGTTGACCATGTCTGATCAAACATCTGCTTTCAGTTCACATGATTTAACTTTCATATGACTTACAATATTCTGACATTAAGAGGCTTTAAATTGCCAAGATGTGAGTAAAAAAGCAATAAAAATTCCACTTGGCTCCACGCTGCCAAGTTTCCAAGTGACACAGCCAGTGAGTAACACAGCTGTATTGTTATTATTGTGTTTTAACATTATTAAAATCAGATCGAGCTTCAAATCAGACTTCCAGTCTATTGTTTTCCTTTGCTGGAGGCTACAGGACCATATTGGGAGAGATGCACACTGGTCCTTGCAGACGTTGTTGTTCTTCGCACCATAATGACTGCTTTCCTAAATAACCTTGATTGATTGAATGAGGCTAGTGTGCGAGCTCACTGCTGAATCTTTTTGTTTTTTCTGACTTTGGCTCATTAGTGCAGAGGCAGAGAACAAACTCTTCTGCCGCTGCTGAGGCCTGTCAGGGTTTACTAGAAACCCTCAGAATCTGTCAGCACAGAGTCTGAGAGAAATTAAAGCTGCAAATGGACAAAAAGTTACAACAAAGACAGATGAACGGTTTCGATATCCTGAGGAATATAAACATCTCTCTTGCAGACAGTTAAATGAAAAGCTCAATACCTCTTATAAATATATATATATGTCCATTAAATATGAAGCTGGAGCCAGAACCAGGTTAGCTAGTTTAGGATGAAGGCTGGAAACCAGAGTTAACCGGGATCTGTCCAAATTCTGACAGCTCACTTTTTGGTTACTCCTATATTATTGTACAGTTTAAACACTCATGATAAAAGACATTATTGTACTTCTTGCTTGTTTAATCCATAAAAACCTTTTTTGTGGTGGAACTCTTTTGGACTTGAGTGATTTGGGGATATGTCGGCTCTTGTCACCAAAAGCTTTATTGGTGTCTGGCACCACTTTTTCATCCTGAGATATTTGCATTCTTTTTGTTGTTTTTTTGTTTCATTTTTTGCATCTGTCTTATGTTAGAAACATCAACACACTCACTCACATTGAATTCTGCCAAGGACATCCTGCTATGTTCTCATATTCGCAACTGGCCCCCAAGTGGCAACCGAGACGTTTTGACTTTTTGGGGAACTGTCATGTAGTATGTTGTATCATAGGTTTCAAATTAAGGTTTTTACTTCTGTCCAATCTGTCATGACGACCCTGCACACCATGAAAGTCTTAAGTGGCAGCAGGGGGCGCACTTCACTAAGAGAGGATATAACAGGATCCTGCACACTAACAGTCACTTACTAATTAGTGAATGTTATGCCAACCAACAGTGCTTGTGGTATGTAAGAATTAAATTATCCTAAAGAAATGATCCTCAATACACACAACTATTCAACTTTGGCAACTCAGTGAAGAACATTTGGTTTTATTTGTCTTTATTTAAAAAATACAGTGTGAGTCCCTTCAAATAACACACACCACAGTAAGTGTGTGAAATGGCGACAGTGTGAGGTGTTCATGGGTCCTTCGAGGCTCCAGGTTTCTTCATCAGTGCAGCCGAGAGAATGAGTAGAAAGAGATGTCCTGATTGTAAGAGTTCAGCTCTGCCTGCTGGGTTCAAAACATAACTTAATAACAGTTTGCCAATTTACACTGATATTGTTCTGTCTTGTGTGTTAGTTTTATACGTAGCAGATCTGAGTACCTCATTTGTTATGCTTCTTGTAAATGGAAATATATTCTTGCACATCATCAGGGGATCCAAGGACCACGGGGACTCGCTGGTGGATATTGGCAGGCTGGATGTCTAGAACGTTCATTGATCCTGTGGTGGCCATGCCCCCTGCCTGCTCCATGATGAAGGCCATGGGGTTGCATTCGTACAGCAGTCTCAGCTGAAAAACAAGGAGCGGACAGATTTGATATGAATGTATATATCAAATAACTTATGAGTGCAATTTACAACTTAACACAGATCATGTGATTGACTTTTTTAGAAGTTCTATCTCCTCACCTTGCCCTTTGGACTCTTGACATTAGCAGGATATAAAAAGATTCCTCCGTAAACCAGAGTACGATGAACATCAGCTACCATTGACCCAACATACCGGCTGCCATATGGAGCAGAACCATCCTGGAAACACAAACAGGTTGTGGAGAAGTCAATTTCATGATGTTCAACATTTACCCAATACAATTATAAAGATGGCTACAGGAACCCAGTATGTCTTCTTTGTAAAGTCAGAGAGTCTATCAGTTCATTTATTGCCATTACCTCTGGGTATTTCTTCTTTTGCAGGTACTCTGTCACATCTGGATAAAAGTGCTGCGCATATCCTTCATTCAAGCTGTAGATTTTTCCCTTTTTCTTAATCTTCACATCTCGATCCACCAAGATGAACTCACCGATTGCCTGCAGAGAAAGGTCTCATCATCAAAAGTGACCACAGCAACAAAGAGTCTATGATTACTGTGTATAATCAGGTGATGGTAATGTTTTGGACGCCATCTTACGGGGTCGAGCATGAAGCAGTTGACTCCCTGACCAGTGGATAAGACCATCATGGTGGCGCTGCCATACAGAGCATAACCAGCAGCAACGATGTTTCTTCCAGGTTGCAAAGCATCATTCTCACAAGGCTCATCGTTTGTGCTCTATGGAAAAAATGATGAGGAAAATAGGGAAAGACATTTTAGGAAACAACAGTGTTGAAGGGGTTATACAGTAATAATGCTATCTTCTTTGACAAAAATAAAAGAGCAAGTATTTGTTCAATGTGTTCATCAATGTGAAATACTGAAATATATATATAGAATTTAGAAAAGGAGAATAAATTCCCCTGGTATGTGCGAAGGAGGACCCTCCTGTCATTTTCCAAATGCCCATTTGCAATAAATTAGCCCCCTGCTAGCAGGTAGACACATATGAACTTTCTTTATCCCAGAAGGGAAATTACAGCGTACAGAGGCACAGTGCTGTGAGGCTGTATAGGCACAGCAGTGCTTTCAGTTAAATGCCAATAGGCCATTCTCATGGCAGACAGTTTGACATGTCACAGTGGGAAATGCACAGGTCTTCTCTGTAAGAACTCCTGAATAGACACCTTGGTCTTTCCTACTGTCACAGGTCAAAAATGTCTGCTGTGAAAAAGGTCTGTACATGCTCACTGTGACAATGCTGTTACATGCACAAGTATAACAAAGGTCCTAAATGTTGAACACAGTCTTAGTTTAATGTGTGGGCATGCAAACAGTAAAATAGCACCAAACAAATTGCAGTGGGGAATATGAGTTATATTGCAAGTACGTGGTCATTTGGACAAATTTAGACTTGAGAATAGCACGAAAGAAAAGTAAAGCAATCAAAGTTATTGGAATTCATCCTGTAGGGGGCATAAATATGTGTATTAATATTAGGTGTATCAATATTTCTTGACAATCCATCCAACAGTTGGCAAGATATTTCACTAAAAGTGAAATTGTGTTGTCCAACAACCAGAGGGTTGGATGTTCAAACCCAGTCTTCCCCATATTGTTTGCCAAAATGTCCTTGGGCAAGATACTGAATCCCCAAATTGCCCCTGATGGCTTTTCCAGCAGTGTGTGAGTGATGTGTGACAGAGAAAGTGTTGCACATCAACGCACTGTATGAGTCAATGTGTGTTACTGTGAAAAACTAAAGCGCTTTGAGTGGTCATCAAGACTAGAAAAACTATATTAATACCATTTACAGCAAAGTCAACCTCATGGCTGTTGAATCTCTTCATCTTTATGACAATCTTTTTTAGGAGCTGTTAAGATATTAAGTTTGGACCAAAGTGGTGGATTGACCATTTCCTGGAGCCATGATACAGCTAACATGTCTAAAATATTCAGGAGACATCAATAACTGAATGCAATATTGAACTAGAATGGCCACTAACAATCCGACACATCTGTCCATTTGTTGTCAGACAAAAATAAAAGGAAACAGGAAGTGATCTCATGATTTGCATCAAATTATTTCCAGAGAAATGGAAAATAAAATAAATAAATACAATTCTGGATCCATCCCAGTGCCTGCGAGCCACACAAATATTCAGTAGCTTTCGTTTAAATTTGCTGACACATGAAGAGATAAAGATATGAGTGAAGCATTTACCTCCTTGGTAAAAATAGGCTGATTGAATAACTTTATGGGTTCAACATGCAGGATCATTACTAACCTTTTTGTAGATAGCAAAAATGGTTCCAATAGAAACAAGACAGTCAATGTTTGAGGAACCATCCAGTGGATCGAAACACACAATGTATTTTCCCTGTCGGTTGAGAAAAATAATAAGATTAGTGTCATAATACAGCCAAAATAAAACTGTCCACAAAAAAGAGTACAGCCATGCGTATGTTTACTGTGCAGATGCACATACTCTGCTGTCTGGGTCCACGATGATGGCCTTCTCATCTTCCTCTGACACGAGCACACAGGAGGAGAAGGAGGACTTGATCATATTGATGACCAGGTCATTGGACAGGATGTCCAGCTTCTTCACCTGGTCCCCGGTCACGTTGGTGCTTCCAGCGATCCCATAGCTTCCAGGGAAGGAAAGATACCAAGATTAAAGATTTTGAAGCGTTAATGTTAAAACTATCAGTGTCTAAGCAAATCTAAAACAAAGCTAGAGTAGTGTGATGAAAAATCTATATACAAACTGTCCTCTTACGTGTGTTAATTGATTTTTTTCCACACTGTGAGGAAGCCCTTTATCTTGGTGACCTCTGGCCTGGGGGATAATGCACAACATGTGCAGAGTTTACCTTTGGCTAGGGGCTAAGTCAAAACTGATTCTCATGTACTACTCCAGACTGCATGCTACATTTCCTACTTTACCCACATTTAAATGAAAGAAAAATAAATGTCTTGACATGGAATAGAAATGTTAAAATGTTGAAATGAAAATCATTAAGAAAAATCAATTTGTATACGTTTATTATGATGCACATCATCAGAATGGGGTTTTATTGCCAAGCAAGGTTTACACATGCAAGGAATTTGCCATGGTGTATTTGTGCAAGTATGAATTTAAGAAATAGGAAACAAAATTAGATTTGACAAATAAGCACCAGGGGAGAGATTGTGCAATACGATAAACACTAGAGACTGGAATGTCCAAAGTACAATTATTCTGTTATTTGCCACAGGAAGTTATAGTGTCAAAGTGTCACAGGCAAGGGACATCAGTGCATAGTTTTCCCTCATTAATTTCACTCAGCTTCGTAGTGAGATTGTTTTGTTTTCCTTCCCACATTTGAAATGAAACATTACTCACAGGTTAGCGATCCCAGCCTTCCTGACAGCGGTGGAAATGGCTTTGACGGCTGTGCAGATGGAGTTGAGCAGGTTGGTGAACTCCCCTGTTCCCTGTGCCTTCCTTCCCTCCTCCAGAACAAACCTGGTGAGGGTCAACACGTTGGTGTCGAAGACTCCCTTGTCAGACATTTTGCTGTCAGGCGTGGGACCGGGACCAAATGTCTCAAGTGAAATAGGTGAGCATTGCCCCCAAGTTAAAAAGTAGACCGTGGAACAGAGATAGGGGCAGGGGCAGGGGTGTGCAGCTCTTCCAACCAATCACAGGCATCTGTTCTCCCAGTCTAGGGAATGGTTTGATCACTTCTGTTACTACAAGACCAAAGTTCAAAGATAGTGGACATTTCTTTTGTTAACCTGTCTGACTGAATCTGATTGAGATAGTTTCAGCGTGCACTTTAAACGTATGCTAAATAAGTCGACAGCAAAGTTTTCAATTCGAATTTCACTATGAATCATTCGAATGGTACTCAGTAGGGTGCATGCTTCTGCCAAGGCCCAACATTCTCCTTAAATTCTATCAAGCTGCACCAAACAGTGAAATATTTGAAAGAGGCTCCATCTCATAATGTTAAAGAAAGTGAAAAAAACATTCCTGGATCATTCCGAATTTGACAGTGCACTTCCCTGGGCACATTGAAAGTGGGAGGTCAATAAAATGAACATGTTGCACATCCCACATACAGACAGAGATGTTTGTGGAATAAGTAGACAGATAACCACCCACAAATACTCTGTTTTTCAAGCAGCGGCTGGAATCGTATTATTTTTGAACTCATGAGAAAGACCAGAAGACAAACAATTCTGAGATTTACTTAACTGGTTTAGTAACAATGACTGCCTGTGTGCACAGCTTGTACTGGACATGAATGATTTAACACTCAGCACTGTAAGCTGTTAAAAACATGCCTCCCCTGCGTGATCTGAGAAGTGCAGAGTCCAAGTAATGGGGCTCATTGTCCGTCTCTACCCTGGTTTTATATAATCCCTTTAATTTCACATGAGCTGATAAATCATTGTTTGTGAGGTGATAAACATTCAGGCGGAGCGGTGCCGAGTGTCGCCCCTGTGCCGCTGTGTCTCTGCAGTGTGTGCATGTAATCTGTTTACTCCGTGTGGCTCTGAGTGGGACACAAACATGATAAGGGAAAAAGACCTGACATGGCTTGTGAAGGGACTGGACTTAGAACCTGCATGACCCATTCCACAACATGAGGCTGAGGATGAACTTTGAACTTTGAGCAAGACACCAGGAATAAAAAAAACAGCCACTACTGTAAGTCATGTGTGATGCCTACACACTTGCTCATCTTGTCATGTGTGTTTATGGTAAATGGTACAAGTGCAGTTAAAATGTATCTCCAACTGTTGCTTGAAACTGTGAATGATTATTTTGATAATCATACTCTGGTGTGACAAATGTGTAAAATGCATTGCTCCACTGTGTCCACATGATGTCACTGTGCAACTTACAAGCTGCTGGATATAAAGGAGGTGCAGGAAAAGACTCAATTCCACGGACCGTGGCACTTCCTGCTGCTGAGTCTGCTTCTTGTAACTGTAACCACAGCATTAGAGCAGGTTAGGTCCAGTAACATCCCGCAACTACCAACAGGATAATGATAAAAAACAATGTCGTATTATTCAGCTTTAAGAAGCTGTACTCTTAAATGTCACTATGGGGGGAATTTATATTTATGTTAGAAAATAATAATATACTTTATTTCTCTAGCACCTTTCAAAACCAGAGTTACAGTGTGCATTAAAACAAAACAGATGAAAGAAGAATGAAATAACATTAAACACTAAACTATAAAAATAAAAACTGTAATATATACAGATTCGTTTTGGAAACGCTTTTTATACTGAGCTAGATATACTAGCGACTCTGCTGATCTGATGTCGAGGGGGATTTTGTTTCACAGTGTCAGAGCTAAAACCATAAAGGCATGATCCCTTTTGTTTTAATCCTGGATCCTGGGACTTTTAATAACATAAGCAAATGGTAAGTGATGTTTGATGAGCTTTTTTTTTGTATAAAAATGCCGTAGAAGGACGTTTGCTGAAAACATTTCATTCACAAAGTAAAATATGTCATATAATCATATAATTGTTTAAGGCAGCATGCCAGTTAACAGGTTCTATGGTCTTTTGTAAGATGACTGAAGGCTTTTGAGACAATATATAAAAATCATACAGTCTTTATGATGTGTGACAGTTTTAACATCATCAGTATTTTGTTGTGGATTATTCATCACCTGACTGGAGCAGCTTCCATACATCATGTTGACAGCTCCTGGACTTCTTAGGAGCGTTGTTTCACGTTCCTAAACAAAAGGTTTGAAAAGTAAGAAAGATAAACTTGGAATCATTTTAACTTCCATAAATTACTGTTGGACGTTTCCCAACTAAAACAATCTACTGTGAAACGTTTTTTGACGTCTATGTCACGTGAACATGTTGTAATTGTTCACCGTCTCCTGCTACATGAGGCCTGGGTGCTTTGTGACTTTTTATTGATCTGTCAAACCATCTTGACTCAAGGCTCACGTGAGGGTCAGGGGCTGTGTTAGTGTGAGGGTCCTCGAGAGGCCAGGAATTAAGTTCAGCCTCTATAATCAATTACACAGTGTGTAAACTGCATCTATAGTTATCTTGTTTTCCCTATTTCCATCAGGAAGTGAGAGAATGGTGAGCTAATCAAGGGGTGACTAAATAGTGTTGAGTATTTAGTCCTTGTGATTTATTTATTATGAAAAAATAATATTTTAATACGTGTTACCTGGCCACATATGAAGAGAGGCATTCAAACCATCGTGTCTAATCGCCAGGCAACGGCAACAGCACATTTTGTGGAACTGAAGTCTAATAGACTTAAACTCTTTTAAAGCAGATGAATATCACAGATGATATAATCATATTCTCTCAAAATGAATTTTAAATCCTTAGCCTGTTAGATCAACACAGAACTGCTTAACAAATGTTTGTCATGTGGGAACGACCTGTCAATCAGTTCCTGTACACGGTTCATCATGGAAAATACATCACGTCAAATGAGTATTAACATAAGCTGTGGAAGCTCTGGTAGCTCAAATTTAGTAAAACCTAATACAAACTGTTCATTTATTCTTATTTATCCTTTTTGTCTTAAAATGTTTGCAGTTGAAAGCAATATCCAATCACTATGTCAAAGCAGGTCGACAGTCAGCCTTCTCTTAGTCAGGACTAATCAGAGAAGAGTTGGACAAAACTGTGAGCCTATGGGCTGAGCATGTCATTATTATATCACACTGTCAAATGTACAGCAGAAACCAGATAAAAGCATGATATTAAAACACACATAGAAAGCAGGAATTTCAGCCTAGAGATTGGTCAGAATCTATAATGACACCAGCTTCTTATAAATGTTTGTAAGAAACATATTCATAAACAGCTGCAAAGTAAAATAGTCAAGTATTCTTAGAAAACTACATAAATACAAATCTAAGCCTAAACTTTTAGGTGATGGGATATCATACTGTATATTTAAGAGTAAAATATGGAACACCACTTTTTTTTTAATGTGGGACTAATTTGTGTTTCGAGTTGTGGTAATTATTTTAAATGCATTGTGAAATTGCATTTTTCCATCTAAAAATGTTAGCATTGCCAGGTTATATAAAGTCTAGCGTTTTTGTTCACACCTAAGACAGGAAGCCTATAATGTTTGTAATTTAATTCAAAAACGAAGAAGTAAAAGGAAACAACCCAGTAACACAGGGAGTAAAAACTGAAACACAATGGAAAAAACAAGAGACAAACCAGCAAAACTGAAGTGCAAGGATCCAGGAGCAAAGGAGGCAGAACTCAGGTGTGACACATCGATTCAGGTGCAGACAATCACGAAGGAGGGAAACCAGACAAAGATAGGAAGTAAAGGAAAGGAGCTTCAAAGTAAAAGAGCAAATAATTAACTCGAAATGCAAACAAAGATATAAATACAAATACACAAAACAGAAACATGTGACCCTCTGTTACAGTTGCATTTGTTTATCAGTTATTTCCAGGTTTTTGTTTTACTCTTTTACTAAAATTTTGACTTGAAAAAAAAACAAAATCTTGTCACTCATCTGTACGAATCATTTTATCTTAATTAAGAACAACAGCCCCAGACCTGCATCTCAGTGTGATTCTCTTAATGATGAAGACTTATTTTCCGACGTATTTAGCAGAAGTTGAGCTGGCCAACATAAAGAGTATTTACCAAAATCTTCATTGCTCAGTGAAAACAGCCTCTGGGCCAAATGCAGCTCCCCAACAATGTTTCTTTGCCCCCCTGATCAAGGGTGATATTTTTCTTTACATGCAATTAGTTAAAAAAAATATGTAACATTTCTTAACAAACTAATATAGATGATAACCAAGTTCATGTGAATCCTATCTTATCCCAGGCTGATGGTAGATGCAGAGAAATAACAGATGCAAACTGTATTTGGGTTTGTGCTATTCTAACATGGGCATTAGATGGAACACATGCAATGGCCCCCAGGAGTCAGTCTGCTGCCACTGTTTGCAAGCTGGTGACAGAATGATTGAATGAGGATATGTGAGTTGCTTTTTGAAGTTTTTTTTTATTTCTTATGCTCGTCCTTCTAACACATTGAAATATTTGCTGTTTGTTCCACATCTTGTTTATGGTGCAATTCTCATTTCGGTTAAATGTTTAAATGTCTCAGTAGCATTAATCTGACAGCAGCAGAAATATATGAGGGTCACTGAGGCTGACTCTAAAGACAGTTTGTTTGGCTTATTGGAATTATTGCCAGAGGCTCTGATGTCATGGGCACAAATCAAATTGGTATTACCAATGATTTATTTGACATAATTCTGCTATTCCTAATTTTGTAATTGCTGTTACAGCTCTATGTTTATTTCACATCGATACATAGAGTGGGGTCCAAATGTCTGAGACCACATAGTGGTTGAATACTGATGGTTGAGATTATGAAATCATTTTTACCTATAGCACATAACATAGCATAAGATAGCAAAGCATAGCATAGCATAGCATAACATAGCATATAATTGAAAAACAAAACAAAACATAGCAAAGCATGACATAGCATAGCATAACATTGTATGGCATAGCATAGCAAAGCATAACATAATATAACATAACATAACATAATAGGCCATAACATGGCATTGCATACATAACAAAACACAACAAAAAATAACATCACAACATAAGATAACATTTTGTACGTGAGTCTTTGTAAAGGGCTTGTTCACAACTGCTGAATAGAACTGGAACCTTTGAGCATTATTTGCGAGACAGTCTCCACAAAACCTCTGCATGCTGAAAACAGAAGGTGCTTACTGATGAGAAAGTGATATGGCAATGCAATGCGGCCAGTCACTGTTGTGCACTGAGGCGTATGGGCTTTTGCCCACTTGTGCTTTTGCAGAATTAACTATAAGTTCTAATGGCCTAGTATAGCATTTCCTTTATGTAAGCACTGCAAGGTTAGTATATACCGTAGACTGCTGAACCTGGGCCGAGAGGGAGAGAGAGAGAGAGAGAGAGATGGTACTGTACATAGAAAAGCTAATCAAGCAGCATTTACTTTTTCTTTTATTTCCATATCTATTCAGTTAACTGGATGTACAGGGGTTGCTCCTTTATTGGCTCCTTTTGAAACATATTCATGGATCAAGGCAGTTACATCTTGAGCACTGTGTCAGGTAAATACTATGTCTACTATGCTAA